CTGCTGTTCCCGGTTGCCTCTTCTCTTCTTGCAGCAAGTTGTCTGCAGGCAGGCTGGTTTTCACGCAGCAGGCTGCAAGCTGAAATAATTCAGACAAGGACTCGTGCAAACAGATTTCAGTCTTCAGAGAGCTTAGAAAGCCGGTCGCCGATTCAGGCTTTGGTGATGGAAGGAGCTTCGAGGTCCTGCTGTATTGCGGACACCCTGCATGACCTTGGCAATGTAATCGTGTAGGCGCCTCCCTCAGTTTTCTGGGTTGTAAAATGGGATTTTTTTGGTCCTTCTCACCATGCATGGGTGTTGGGACTTCTCTGAAAAGGAATGCTACGGTGCTGGTGGTGTGATTTCCCTTGGAAGTCACAAACATAGCAGAGGCTCAGCCTTTGTTTGAAAGAACAAGGCAACATTACAGAGAAACACAGAAAAACAGGAGCCACAGGTGCAAAATCCATTAAGGAAATGTAAAGAGTTCTAAAGTGGTTATCTCCTTTTTTCTCTTTTTTTTTTCTTAAGCTTTTATGACATGCTTGTGACTTCATAAGGATCCTGCCTGTGATTTTCTGAAAGCAGGGTTAGCATTATTGCCTGTTCACTGTTCACGGTGGGTCCTTTATTCCTCCATTTTGTTCTTGCCGTTTAGGATTTCAATAGCTGTGAGAAATGCCCCCCGCTTTTGTTTTAGAGAGGTTTCCTCCAGGAAGACAGGAGATCACAGGGGCCAGAAAACAGGTCACGCAGTCGTCTGGCAGTGTAAATAGCTCCTCAGGGAGCGAAGCAAAGCCAGCAACCAGGAGAAGATGAGGCTCTGAGATCAAGAGCCTCTCGTGCCTTCTCTGGCACCAAAGCCCCCATTTATAATAGCAGGTCAACCTGCGGCTGACAACCTGCATTGAGCAGAAGGGCAGCTTGAGAGTGCAGATAGGACTTTGCCATCGCGCTGGAACGTGGCCAAGAGGCATGGTTAGCATCTCATTTACATACCTGTTTGCTTTTTTTTAAAAAAAAAAAAAAAATCAACAATGAATTCAGAGTCCTAATATTTGCTTCTGCTTGGTGCGTCTCCTCTGCTGGATGAATAGCAAAAGAAGCTCGTGCGGATGCTCCTGGGGGGGGGGGCAGGGGGGGCCAGTCGGTGCCGAGCGGCTCCCAGTGACGCTTGCAGCAAGCCGAGCGTCAGCTGGGTTATTTCTGTCTTTGAAAGTATGCCAAGTCTTTACCCTTGAAAAGAGGAAAAACGGGGTGTGGAACTAAAAGGGGACTACACTTGGGTGCGGGGGGGGGACGGGACTTGTACACGTTGCTGCATCTCCCCGCTGTTTGCGATTGCTGCCACAGGGCAGGGGAGCGCTTCCCAAAACCAGAACCTGGGTTCCCTTCGTGCGGCAGGAAGGTGAGAGGGAGATGGTAGATGGCTGATGGCTGGTGTGGGTACTCTTGGCTGGGCTCATGTGGTCTGAACTCCAATCTCTGCAAGGATTTGGGAAGCCAGGTTATAGTTAAAACCAGATTTTTTTTGGCTAATACCCTATTTAGTGGAAGGGGAGATAATGGGGAAACTTCTGGTTGACCGACAGCATCTTGTGTGATCATGGAAGCGCTTGTTTTATTTTGTCTTGGAGTCAAACCACCCTGCTTTGAAACCAAAGCACCATTTTGTAATAGCGTTGTAAATGTTCATGGGAAAAGTACCCAATTGACCTGTTTCAGCCCATTTTCTTGTAGCTGAAACCGCTCCACCTGCATTTGTAAATCAGCCTCTCCCCATTTTCAGTTATTTTCTGTCAAGTATCTTATCTCCCTTACAACTTTTCTGCAAATTACTTGTTCCTTTGTCATTAAGACATAAGACAGCTGAACGCTGTAAAGTGGACGGGCCTCTGATCTTCCAAACCCAGTTAAACCCAGTAATCGGGCTTTAAGCTGATTTGAAAGCTAGTTGAGCTCTGCCTTCAGTACTTCTTATTTTTGGCTGCTTTTTTTATCTGTGATTTAGGGAGAGATGATCCTGCCGTGGAGCAGGGACTGGGCCAGGTAATGCTCTTAAGTTCCTTACCCCCCCGTCTCTCCTCTCCTGTGACTGAGTCTGAGCTGTTTGTAGCTGAGGTGGAGCCTTGGACAAAAAAAAAAAAATGGTTTCAAGTGACAATTTTTCACACTGAGCAAACAGAGGGAAGGAAAAGACAGGATACATATGCCATGTTTCTACTCTGATTTTTCCATGACCATCAGCTGCTCTCTAAAACAAATCAAGAAACAAAAAAAGAAAAAAAACCCAACCACCCTAAAAAGGGCTTCACTTCCAACAGCAATTACCAAATGAAGCCTCTGCTTAATGGACATTTTCAGAGGGCATAGACACCGCTTTGTGCTTCTGCTTTCTCATTATGACTCTTGCAGCTCCCAGCTGACAACCTGATAATTCTCGCCGATAAAACAATCTTTTTGGGTTATTGCTGCGTTCCAGCGCTGTCCCCGCTTGCCCGGCTTGCCTTGAGAATTGTCAAGATTACGGAGTGAGCTGTGAAAACATAGTTAGCGGGTGGAAAATACACATTAAAAAAACCCCAAACCCCAAAACAACAACAACAAAGCAAAATGCTCACTTTTTTTTCCCTGCTTCCTTTCCTAATTTTCTCTCTCATCCCCACTTTTCCCTAGTAGTGCTTGTCTTTTATGAGTCTGAGTAAAATACAGAGCTGATTAATATTCCCTTTGAAACCAGATTTAGAAATCTTAATTCAGCATAGCAAGGGTTTCTGCTGGTATTGGAGACCGCTGTGACTTCCAGCGCGTCTCTCCCAGCAGAAAGAGCTGGAGTCTCCTCTGGAATAAACCCGTCCTGTTGTGCATGCAGCACCGCACCGAGAGCCACCACCGTGGCCTTCTGGAGCACCTGCGATGAAAATCAGATTTCCTTGCAAATATGTGGGTGCTGGGAGAGCCAGGACCTCTGAAATACCCAGGAATATGGCGCTCGAGGTGCGCCTGGACACTGCAGAGAGGTTTGCAAAAATTTCAGCAGGGCTTTTTAACCTGATGTATGTAAACCAGTAGAAATCCAGAAAGGATGGCTCTGCTCTTCCCTGTGCATTTTTAGCTGGCTCAGAGCAAACTTAAGTTAAGCTACACTAAATTAAATTGAAATACAAGCGTTCACATGGGGTCTTACATTGGTTTAACTGCATGAGTTAGAAAATCATCAAGCTTTGTAGCTTTGCCTTGTAGGCAAAGCCCAGCAACTCATTTGGAAACAAGTTTAGTTGCGAGAACTTGTCACACTTAACCTTGGTTTAGGATTAATCATCAGTCAATGATTAAATTGAGTTAATGTAAATTAGGATTGAATTGATTTAGGGTGGTTCACATGGAGACTGTCCTGGTTTAACAAATTGATTTTAAAGAGAAACTTTTTCTTCAGCCCGGTATGATTCTGTATATTGAACTGACATTCAGCTGAGGGGTGTGGGCTTTTAATTCTGTGCCTGTTGCAAGGCGATAATTCACACACAGCGAGGCTCCTGATCTTTAAAACCCCTCAGCTAATACAGCGAGTCGCAATCCAGTTGTTCTGCCTTTCTCCCAACTTCTCCCTTTGTCAGATCTCTCCTATATCCAGAGCGAGAGCGAGACTTTAAGTGCTGGCAAAGCAGTAATGCTACTCAGATGCTCTACAAATAACTAGCACAAAGGACCGTGCTCACAAGGTGTCCAGATATCAGCGGATCAGCCTGAAATGGCTTTACATTTAGGACCTTCCAGCATTAGACTGTGGTGCTACGTACGCGTGCTAGCTTGTAGCACAACGAGCCCTCTCTCTAAGATAGCCCAGAGGTCTATTTGGTTTGGGGGTGCTTTGTCAGCGTTTGTTCTTGCTTCTACTATTTTCTTTACAAGCTCAGATCCGAGAGAAGGGAGTGGTCTGGCACTGTGCTGCCGTGTGCCCCCACCTCCGTTGAACCACAGGGATGTGCTGTACGGGCATCCCAGATACCCACTTTGCCTGACTGAAAACCAGAGCACCGCTCATTTCGGAAAGAAAAAGCCGGAAGGAATTAACACGTTGAATGTTTTTCGATCGTGGCAAAGTCAAGGAATGATGATGTATTTCAAAGAGTGAAAATAAAACATAATGCCAGTGCTCAGCAAACCCTGATGTGAAAGAGGTTATACTGCATCAGAGTGCTTTCTGTTGAAAATGAGAAGTTTGACCTCGCAGCTGAGGTGTGCGACATCTCACTATGGCAGGAGATGACCCGAGGGCTTTGAATTGTTCTTGCAGCATTCAGGGTGGGGAAGGGTGAGGGGAGAGACGATAAACCACCACATTTGGTCCACCTGTGTCAACCAAGGTGGTAGGTGTCATGCTTAAGAGTTTGGTCCATTAGGGTTGGATGGTTTGTGAGTTTGACGATGAAGCTTTGGCAAAAGGCAGTGCTGAACCAGGACACTTGCTTCCTTTCATCCCCAGGTGTGTGTGAAGCTCCCAGCAAATACAAGTAGGTTACGCTCTGGGAGAAGAGAGAACAGCAGCGGTCAGCTGTTTTCCTGCGTGTTTTGTAGCAGGTTCTTAACTGTGCATCCTGATTTCAGAGAGCACGTGAGGTGGGAGCGAGACTCAGAAGCAGAGGACCAGCGTCCTCTTGTATTAGGTGTAATACAAAATATTACTGCTTCCTGAAAGCCTGCTGCTTTTCTGTCTGTTGATCGTGACTGCTAAAACACTAGCGCCACAATTTGGAATAAAACAGTGAGAGGAAATGCCTGGCACCTCTTTGCTGTATCATTTTTTTTTTTTTCCCCAGGGAGGAAGACGTTGCAAACTTTTGTCTGAGTGTGTGAGGGGGCAATAAGTAATCACATAATTAAGAGCTGCAGAATTCAGCCTCAGGTTTGTGCTGTGGCAGAAGCATCTCGGGCTGTTGCATCCCAAGGCACTGCATTGCGCAGAAAACCGCCCGAGAGCTGACAGCCTCCTCTTTCTCTCTTGTTCCCCTCTCCAGGTCAAGCATCCTCCTTCACGCAGCAGCCCCAGGACCAGGTCGTGATCGCTGGGCAGCCCGTGACGCTGCTGTGTGCCATCCCTGAGTATAATGGCATTGTGCTGTGGATTAAAGACGGGCTCGCTCTTGGAGTCGGACGGGATCTCTCAAGTAAGTTGTGATACTACCCTACCTAAACAAGGAAAATGGGAGCTCCCCAACGGTGCAGGTGCAGCCACGACATTTATTTTGAGAATAACGAGTGTTTTCATTTCAACTACAAAACCTTCCAGCCAGCTCAAACGTAAGGATTGAAACTCGGAATAAACAAAACCTTTTTTCACTCCACCTTGAAACAAAACAGTTGGTTTCCCGCAGGTGTGACCTGACCCTTTGGAAAGCCTTGCCTTGGTTTCGGTTGACTTTTGGAAACAAATGTCATGTTTCCAAAATGCAGGCTGAAATGTTTTGTAAATGTTGAAAGTGCCTGTTTTGACATTCTCAAAAAAAAAAAAAAAAGAAAGTCTCTGTTTGTTTTGGATAAATGTGTTTATTGCAATCCAGCGGAGCCCACAAGTACTTGTGGCTTCCTGAAGCTGTACTTTTGGCAAATTATAGTTTGGTAATAAAATTCTCCAGACTTCTTGCTACTTAATCCCACGCGTGCATTGTTGATTGAGGGTTTATTGCAACTGGCGAAGACTCTGGAACAATAGTGGAGAAGTTACACAGTTTACTCTATATATTTTGCTGGAAAATACTAATTTTTTAGTGAAGTATTTCACAGGACTAAGGGAGAGTGTTCACTTGAGAGCCAGGAACCTGGGAAGGCACTGAGCCCTTCCAGGAGCTGCAGCCTCGTCCCCCCGAGCACAGCAGAGGCTGTACACGTGTGACGTTGCTAGTGCTCAACTTCTGCAGAGCACAGAAGACCTGGGAGGGTTTCTCTCCGAGTCAAGCAGCAGCATTCAGAAAACAGGGGAGGATTTGTGTTTCTTGGTCTCCAGGGACCCCGCTCTTCTCTGAAGTGCGATGCCTGCTCTTTCTTTTCCTCTATTTTTTAATACATATAATTACTCATTTCTCAGACTCGTTTGAGTGAGCAGTCCCCTCTTCAGCTGTTTTTCAAAGCTCTGTGCCACAACTTTTACATATATTAGAGAGCTGAGCTTTCCATATAAGACCTTGCAACATGAATGGGTAACAACAGCTCCGCTGGAGTATGTAGCTTATGTGAATGACTTCCACAATTAATGGAGCTGGGGCTGCTTTAAGCAAGAGGAACTGCCAGAGCTCGCATGATACCAGCTCAGCCAGTCATCTAATTAGCTAAATACAAACAAACCCATCATTTGTATTTCTTGCGGTTCAGGAGAGCAAATCCTGCTGTTGATAGCTTGCAAAACAACAAAAACACAAGACTGTGCCAGGCTGCCTGCGTTGCACAGTGCATTAATCACCAGCGCAGGGAAGGATGGGGTGATGGCAGCCTTCCTTCCATGGTGCTCCAGATGTCTCAAAACGCAGGGCAGGCTGATCAGGGCTGTCGATACCCCCACAGACCCCTGCCCAACCTTTACGCAGACCTAATAGTAGAAGTATTCCAGGGTTTCATCACAAGCACGCGCACAGCTGACTTAAGGAGTTAAGGAAATCCCACGACAGGTCTCAGAGGAGCTGGAGGTGGTGGGTTTCCTGGTGGAAGGGCTCATCCGTTTTTCTTAGGGATTTCAGTTAATGCTCCTTCATCGGTACTTCTTTGAATTCTTAGGGCAAAACCTGCAGTCTCTTTCCCGAATTTGGAAAACCTCTTTCTCTCTTTTTGGGCTGGCTGCTAAGGAGGGGAAGAAGCTGCCTGGCTCCTGGGCATCTGCTGTGGGGCGGCTGGGGCTCTGGACCCCTGCTGTATACTCTTCAGCCCTGGGCTCGTCAGTCCAGCTGCCTCCTGACTCGTGCTTCGCGTTCTGCAGGTTATCCGCGCTATCTGGTCGTAGGAGACCATCTGTCCGGAGAGCATCACTTGAAAATCCTGAGAGCTGATCTCCAAGATGACGCCGTCTACGAATGTCAGGCCATTCAAGCAGCCATCCGATCCAGACCTGCCCGGCTGACTGTTCTCGGTAAGTCCCGTCTCCTCATCGCGTTGGAGGTTATTTGCCTTTTTTTTTTTTTTTTTTTGACCTCGCGGGCAAACTGAGTGATTTTTTTAAAAA